TGCCTCTGATCTGCAGAGCTTATATCCACCAGCCAACAGAAATTGCTTGTTGTCTCCCAGAAGCACCCACCTAAGCCAATTAGCTTTACCCCCAAGTACAGCAGTGCCTGATGTCAGTTCAGTCTTGGGAGCCTATTCATTTCCCCACCCTGACTCATCCCACACTAGGCTAACCCCTCACCTGCCTTGATACTGTGACCTCTGCCCTTGCAGAGATGCCAGGGAGAAAGGCCAACAAGACCCACAGGATGGGGCTATGCAAATATGTGCCCACACAACCCAATCTGAACAGAAGCTTCTGGAAGCTCCTCAGCACCTCGTAGCCAGTCTGACAGTCTGATTAGCACACTGCCAAGAGTGGGGTAGGTGCCCAGGGAATCTCTACTGAATCCAGTTTCCATAAAATAAATTACAGAAAGCTAAGATTTGTGCCAAGATGAAGGCCCTAGCTAAGATTCCCTCTTATCGCCAATTCTATTTCCTCTTGGTCCTGGAACCAGTTTGCCTGGGTTCGAACAACTGAGTTCCTCCTTCCAACTTTATGCCCTCATGCAGGCCACTCAACTTGCCTTAACCCACAGTGTCTGCCACTTTAAGGTGGAATTAATAACAGTGCCAAGTTTGGGTAGGGTCATTGCAATAATTAAGTGAGATAATGCATATAAATCACAGTGGAGGGCTGGCACATAGTTAGGACCTAGTATACTTCAGCTATTATTAAAGATTCTTGATTTATACATCCAGCTCCTAAACCATGTTTTTATATACACATATATTCAAACACATACACACACATAAACATAACCCAAAATAAAAGTATTAAAAATTATTCCCTTGGCTACAATTATTGCTAGGATTATGTATTGCTGAAAGCTTATCTCAACATAATAATAACAATAATGAACAAATGGTTTTTATGTCCAGCAAAGCCACCTCAGCCAAGATACAAGCTGAATAACAAGAGATTGCCCTAGTGCTTGCTCATTCATAAATAGGAAATATGACAAAGGAGGCTGCATTGTGATCAAAATTAAGTAAATTTCACCCACAATTCCAAATCTTATAAAATTGGGAAAAATTTAAAAGGCATATTACATAATTTATCCATTTTTATAACTGATTTATCCAACCAAGAAATAATTACAGAATGCCTGCCATGTTCCAAGCTGTGTGAAAGTGTATGTGTATGTGTGTGTGTATAAAATTGTAGATTAGCGGAGTTAAAATAGTTGGCAATCCTGGAAACAATTTACATGTGCTCAATTTCAAGACTTAGCGTGTACCTAAAAGAAATTTTAAGAATTAATCACCCTCTGAACACACACAACACCCCCACACACAATTTATCATGTCCAAGGACAGCTAATCCTAGTCAGAATAATAGCACAGTTCACAAAAATAGCAGGTTAAGCCCCGGCTTGTAACCAGATATGTTGGAGAGAAAGTTAACTATTACATGGTAAGACTCTAAAAACAAAAAAATATATAAATAAATCAATGAATTTTCAGTTACATTCCAGTGAGGAAGCCAAACGGAGGAGAAGAGTGGCCACTTATTCAAGGAAGAGGCGGGGGAAGATAGGCTACCTCGGCTCATTGCCCTGGTCCTTACGGAAGACACTAGGGACAGTCTCCCTTGAACTTGAAGGCAGGTGGCGGGAGATCAGATAGTGGTAAATGAGCAGGACATTCCAGGCCTGGTGGGTAATGTAGACATTGATAAGTCACAGGAACCAGAACATTTACCTTCACTCCTTAAAATAACTCTAGGTTAGAAACTGGGCGTCATGGACAAAATGCTTAACCTGTCACTAGCAACAAGCCACAGTGCTGGAGGTCCCCCTGAGTGGCCAACCTGAGCCTCCTTCATAAAGGTATTGGCTATAAAGTTAGCGTGGATTTGTTAAACAAATCCCAGCACATCAGAAACTGCAGAAAGCATGCCTCAAGTGAAACAAATTAAGTGATTAAAAAAAAAAAAAATCATTACCCCAAAGATGTGGGCTAAAAACATAAACAGATTTCCAAAATTTTAGATCTACTCAGAGATAACATATCCAATATGGGAGCTAGGCCTTCAGGGACAATGACTTGGGGCCCTGGATGAGGCTCTTTGAAAGGGACATTGTGAGGGATAGGAATAAGAGAGTGCTCCCTCATATTTCCTGGTGCTTCTGGGCTGGGTCTCTTTTGTGACTGCTTGCTCCATACCAGTAGCCCTATCTCTTTTGTTGAGCTTTCACACCTTCACTTGCAGTCCTGGCTTTAACGGCCTGGAGGTTAGTCATGTGCCTATGATATATCATCCCTGTTTCAGTCACTGTTCCTCTTCCTTCTTCTTTCAGGAGCGACTGAACACAGTACCTGCTGCCGAACCAAGAAACAGACACTGCACCTGCCCCAGGCAAGGGGGAGGTGAGCTCACACCCCACCTGTGGCTTCCAGAACCGCTAAGTACGCTCAGGGGATCAAGTGTTGCCAAGGCCCATCTGATCCCCTTCCCCCAATAGGACTGCCTGTCCCCGTGGAAGTGCTGATGGATTCTCTGAGTAGGACATGGGGGATCCCGGGGAAGGAAGCAATTTCTGTAAACAATAATCCATTATTAGATTTCCTTTTTCATCTGCCCCCAAATAAAAACAAAGGAAGTCTTTGCACCCCTGGAATGGGAGAGAATACGTACAACTTTCCAAGGAGAACATCACTGTGGTGTTTGTGATGAACTAAAGGAGACAGAAGAGGACCTGAGGGTAAGTGCACAGAGATGATGCTGCAGAAGGCGGGGGTCCTTGAAATACAGTGCAGAATGGTTTTCCTATTGTTAATGAGAGAAATAGGTGACTAGAGGCCTCGCTATTTCCAGGTCATGCGCTTAGCGAATTCCAACACAAAGACCACGTGAATGTCACAGGGTCAAATGCGGAGAGCTACCCCCAAACCCAGAGGTCTGGCCCTAGACAGAAGCAACACAGAAACATAACCCCGGGAGGGAAATGTGTTTTCAGTTACACCAGGGCCGGGCTGGCCTCTCCCACAGGCTCTTCCTAAATAGGAACTTGGCAGTGGGCTGAGTTGGGCTGGAGGGTCGTCCTCGGCACAGAGGTAAGGCCCTCAGGGTCTCGCGGGAAGCTGGACAGAAGTTCCTTCTCCCCGCTGGTAACAGCCCCGCAGAATCAGCGTCACATCCACTTCACTCATGTTCCTGACAGGTGGCTCTAGTTTCACGCAGGCACCGCAAAATCAAAACATACGCATGTCAATGGCCCGTGTGCAGCGGGGCCCTGCCAAGGCCGGGTTACATCAGCACCAGGGGGCGGGGGCCAGGCCTTCGGGCCTCAAGCCTGGGCCTGTGGGAAACTCCCTACAGAAGAAACCACCAGAGCTGGATGGACAAGCCAGAGGAGCTCTCCTGGTGACAGTCCTGGGCCTGGGCTCCTGGTGCTGAATGGAAGAGCCTGGGAGACATCAGCTTACATCTGGCAGGGGCTTGCCACACAGACAGCCCTGCCGCCGCCATTTTGCCGCATTCTGCTTCCTCCAGGCAGTGGACTAGCAGCCTGGACTGAAGGAGCCACTTAAAGGAATGGGATGTCCTTCCTTGTGAGCTGGGTCTTTGCCAGGACATCAGTGAAGTGCAGGTCTTTAGACACGTAGGGGCTAGGAGAATTTCTTTAATCAAGGCAACCATGGCTAAAGTGATTGAAGGGACTCCAAGGCAATTTGTCCTTATCCATAGAGGAATATATTAACTATAAAGTGGCTAAATAAAGTCAGTGAGGTAGGAGCAGCAGGTACGGGCCTAAGAAAATATCCTGTTCTAAGTCAAACAACCCGTGGAGGCCGGAGATGAGAACTGATACAGAGTTTTAGTCCATCACCTGCATCCCCATCCTCCCCGCCCATCCCTCTCGCCGCATCCAGGTCCCCTTCCTCAACTCCACCCAGACCTTATCTCTGGTAGTGGGTGCGGCAACAATGGCAGCGAAGGCTGGAGGGCTCACACCTCTGATTTCAGAGCTTTTGGCCCCTTTGTGGGACCTCCTGGTGACTCACTAACTTCCCGTCTCAACCACTACCAACTCAGGCAGGTGAATGTGAAGAAATGAGTAACAGGCAGGGCAATGTAAGCCCAGGTCTTGAGCTAACCGGCACCAATGCCAAATCAGAGAGACCCAAACTAGACAAGCTTCACTGCACCGGTCGGCCATCTTGCCTGTTGAGGCTGAGACTAATCCAAGGATAAGAACTGGCGTTCTCATTCTCCTGAGCTCCAAGGACTCTCTAAGTAGGAGCCTGGAACCTCAACCAATGTCCTGGACACATGCCTGGCCTGGCCGGAGAGGACAGTCAGGTCCAGCAGGCAGGGGCCACGAGAGGGCTGCCCAGGGAGCTCTGTGGCGTGAACGGCTGACAAGGAGATGACCATGCCCAGGCCGCCTAGCTCATGGCGGAAAGGGCACCGCCGCTGAGGCCTCAGTTCATCGTTTCACTCGCCATTCACAGAACCGTGGCATGTCAGCCCCGCCGGCCTCCTTGATTGTGCAGAAATAAATAAATGAATTATGTTGTTGGGGTTTGGGCTCAGCACAAACACATGGTCTACATTTATCCGCACAGTGAGAGGTCCACCAGCCACTTGATGTAAAAGAGGAAAATGATAATTCTTTTCTTTAGGCGCTCTGGTGCCATATGGAATGTATATAAATCATATTTTTGTTTTAACAGCGGAGGCTTTGTTGATAGATAAACATGTGGTTTATCTAAAAAAAGAGAGGATTGTGCTTTGAACAATCATTTAATGGCCGTGGATGTGCCAAATAAAAATAAAAACATAATTCTGAAAGAAGTTGGCCTCTTGCCCAAATCCGTAACAAGGAATTTCTCCTCAACCAAAGTGGTTGAAGCCCGTCGATCTGGTTTGAGTTTAAGCTGTGCTCTCTACTCAACCCCACGACAAATTGAATCCGGGGCTAATGTGCTCTAATAGGACAAGACGTTACCTTTATGAATGACCTCATGGAGAAGAGGTTGGCGAGCATGGTGGAGAGGCCCTGGGCCAGGCAGCTCTGGGCTATGAACCCCAGCTTCAGCTCTGCGAGGCAGATTGCATCATCACCCTCTTTCCAGTTCCAGCTCGGGATGTTTAGCAGATGGGCCTGTGGAAAGAAAACAGTTATGAGACCTTCCTTTGTGAAACATTCAATTGTTTCAAGTCTCCTCTGGGAAATGCAGCATTGCCTAGCTGCAGGGTGATCCAGACTCGTCCTTTCTTCCCTAGGCCTGGGTCGGGTGCTTGGTGTTTTACTAAAATCTCCTCATCAGGCTCCAGTCTCCCTGGAAATTGCTTCTATACCTACCAAGCCAGAGGCCTCCCCTAGGGTTTGTCCTTTAGCCAAATCGAATCCAGAGGCAAATCCCTCTTGTGACATAGGCCCATGCTACTTGGATGTCTGACTACGTTGCTCATACATTGGCTCCTCAAATAGACTCTGATGTTATCCCATGCCTGTGTACTTCAGATTTCATTTTATCTGCCTTCTCAATACTCCAGATCAGTGGCTCCCAAGCTTGAGTGGGCATCAGAACCACTTGGAGGGTTTGAACAAGCACGTTGCTGGCCCCTTCCCCACTGTTCCCGATTCCCCGTGTAGGGTGAGGCTGAAGAATCTGTATTGCTAAAAGGGCGAGGTGACGTGAGCTGCTGAGCTGGGGACCACACTTTGAGAAGCACTGCCCTAAATCACCAGGCAAATCGCAGCGTGCACAGGTCACCATCTGTTGCAGGTGGACAGGTCCTCTTCCACAGTTAGGTCAGCACTGCGATCAGGGCCCAGGGCACGCTCAGCCAGCTCTGTTTAAGCGGCATGGAGCACAGATCCTCTTCCACAGTTAGGTCAGCACTGCGATCAGGGCCCAGGGCACGCTCAGCCAGCTCTGTTTAAGCGGCATGGAGCACAGATCCTCTTCCACAGTTAGGTCAGCACTGCGATCAGGGCCCAGAGCACGCTCAGCCAGCTCTGTTTAAGCGGCAAGAAGCACAGTCATAGGTGACACGCTGGTTGGAAGAATCAGGATTCAAAAGTTCTCCAGAGTTGGAAAAAGTGTGTGTGTGTGTTTGGGGGGGTGGGGGGGAATCAACCAGAAAAGATTTTAAAGGCCTTCATGTCAAGTACAGCATTTAGGTTGAGAAAAATCCATTCTATAAGTCCAAAATGAGAAGACCTAACTTGGCAGCAGACATGAGGGAACAGAAAAGAAAAAACTTAAGTGTGTGGGTAACTAAACCCCAAAGAAAGGCCAGCTGTGTGAGAAATCGCAGAGAACACCAATGCCTGCTTGTTAGAAATGGTCTCCAGGTCAAGGGAAACAAAGGTTCCATTCTGATGTGAAAGGGTCAGGCTGGTTCCAGAAAACCTGATCCGGCCTAACCGTCCGATTAAGGAGGGAAGCTGACCACTTGCATCACTTGCAGAGAAAACATGGCAGGCACGAGGAGAGGTGTCGGTTCTGGACAACCCCTTCTGAAGCACAACGGAGAGAGGCGGCAGCGTGGGGCCCGAAGAAGCTCTCGCCATCGCGGAGGTGCTGCTGTGATGAAGACATTAGGCTTGTCTTGTTTTGTTCCAGGAGCCAGAATTGGGACTGAAAGCAGTAATGTTGGCTTGTTTTATGAAGGAACTTTCTGAGGATGCAATTTGTCTAAGAGATGGAGAAGGCTGCCTCCACTGCAGGGTTTCTGTGCCTAAAACTCAGTAAGTGTCCGAGTCTCAGCAGAAAGACCTCTTGCTTTGCAAGGAGAGAACCCCTAGGTCTTCCAATGCCAGACTCCATGGCCCTGAAACGACGATTTCTCTCCAAACAGGAGGAGCACCAACAAGGCTTCCATTCACTCTTGGGACAACATAGGCAGTTGTATGAGAAGGAGATATAAGACTCCGTCGTGGAAACAAAGGGTGGGTCCTCAGGCTCCAGGCTCTGCTTTCAGAAACACCACTCTTGTGAAATGCCTTCTTGCAAAATCCAGTTCTCTAGCAATCGCGTGCATCCTAACCCAGCGGGAGTCTATTCCTGGGAGAGATGACTGTATCCATCCTGATGACAGCACTTTTAAGACAGCCCCGCGTGTGGGCCACAGAGGATGGCAATTTCCCTCAGGCTAAGTATCAGAGACTGTCCACACATCATAGCCTCGATCTAGAACTAGCCCTGCCTTTTATCCCATTTCTCTCCCTACTCTTCACTGTCCAAAGAAGGCCACCTTCCCCTCAACTTCCCTGGCATCATAGAGAATAACATATCAGTCTAAGAGAAAAAATATTAATTTGCATTAATATCACCTAAAAAGAATGAGGAAAATCAAAGCTAAGTCATGAACAATCAAGTTATCAAGCCCCAGACAGATACTAGATAACCTTCATGGCACCTTCAAACAAACACAGAGAATGTTTTCAAGAGGGTCTCTCACATCCCCAGGTGCCATCCAGGGTATGAAGTCCGGGCCCGGGGTCCCCCATGTGCCCATCTGGTTTGAGTTCCTTAGACATAGTTTACATGTTTACAGAGGAAAGGCATGAGTCTCATTTCTCGGGCTTCTTTTCTTGGCCCTAGTATCTTCTGCAATCGCAGGGCAGGGAGCCACAAGGGATGTGCCAAAGCCTGGGACCAGGGATCTCTGTGTGCATGAAGCAGAGACAGGAGAATGACCCAGGAATTCGAATTCTTGGTGTCTGGCAACTCTGTCCGTTTTCATTTGAGGGCAGCGGGGCCCGGTGGAAAGGCCAGCATTGCTGCATAGGAGCCTAGAGGCAAATCCTTCCAACCTAGAGAAGTAGACCTGCTGGGCAGGGTCTGTACTGGGCCACTCATCATCTCCAGAAGAAGGAACGTAAGACAGTTTATCCTGGGAAACCAGGAGAGATGAATCCCAGCCCCAGTCCCATCTCTCACTGCACATAAAATAAAACTGGGGAAGCCGCCATGAGGAGCAAAGAGGTCACATCAGAGGAAACACTGTGGCATGACTGCCCAAGTGTAAGGATTTACGGAGGAAGCTCAAAGAACTGCATGTCCATCGGGCCAGCAGGACTCGGCTTCGAGTTCGGAAAATAACCCTTTCACTACAGTCTGCTGGGGGAGAAAATCCAGCAAGAGCTAGGTCATCAGGAGTAACACCTTTCCAAGATGTCATAAACCATTCTTTCCTTGAATAGGTTCAAGCCACTGACACCCGAATTAGAACATTTACTGGGCCACAGTCTTTCCATGTTCAGAGATGGCTAGGCTGTGAGTGTTTCCCTCCATGGATTCTAGTGATATTAAACAGACCCACGTTAGAGAATATGCTTCTGAGTCCTACTCTATGGAGCCACAGTTCGGTTCGGTGGGCTGTGGCTCTGCGTAAAGAGAAGGTGGTAGTTGGCACCTCTGTCTCTTAGCTCACTAGCCGCCAAGTAACCATTATTTGTACCCTGCAGAGCGGCTCGGAGTCAGAGCCTGAGCCCCAGTCTGAAGTCACACTGAATGCTGAAATGCACAGATGGTCAGATGAGGACTCAATGACAGAATGGATGTCAAAGCTCTTGTAAAACCATTAAATATAACACAAATGTCTGAGGTTATTATGATAACAAACCCAGGGGCAGGTTTACATGGAGAAAAAGCAGGCAGTCTCCCTCTGTCCCTCTGGGTCCTGGAATACCAGTATCATTTGGTCACAGGGGATTGAGAGCCTTTATATTTTATGCATGGCATCCAATTATGGAATTCACTATCCCTTGCAATACATTGACAGTGACATAAGTTTATACACACATACCAGGCTCTTTCTGAAAGCAAGTGTTCATGGATGGAGATCTCTGGTGAAGAGAAAGTGCCGAAAGAAGAAGAAGAAGAATATTGAATAGAAGGTGGAGAAAAACATGTTGAAAGGGTAGGTAGGAGGACCTTAGGAAACAGAGCAAAATTACAAAGCAAGGGGAAGAATGCTTGCAATTCTGCAAGGAATAAGATAACTAATAATGAACACTGGTCTTTCTATTCTTTCTCTGGAAGAGAGAAAGGCAATGAGAGAGGAAAGGCCCTGTGTCCAGTCGCTCCGTCCCTGGAAACCTTATTGATCTTCCAGGCCAGAATCTCATAGTGATGTTTGCCTAACTCTAAACCCACACAGGCTGGGGTGGCTCTACATAAAGTGTGTTTTAAGCAAATAATCACGGATAGGCTGACATCTTCACTGTTGTTCCTGAAGAACCACAGTGCAGAGTCTGTGGGAGACCCTGAGCTCACCGTGTCCATGTGAACACTGACCAGGTGCCATCTGGACCCTGGGTCTATGGAGCCCCTTGGAGTTTGACAGGAATCACAGCTGAAATCCTCCTTAATGTCTTGAAGATGCTATATCAGCACTCATTGGAAGCAGGAGGGAAGGAACTGACATCCCTTTGTAAACATACAACATTAATTTTCCTATTCAATCTGAATTCAGCCCAAAATCTAAACAACGGCTTCAAGCACTCCCACACTAAATACAGTTTCAAATCTCAAATGGAAGAAGGAGAGTTCGTTACCCCAGAAGCTGTCACCAGCCACAGCCTTGCTAAGGAAATCTGCCTCCACCTACAGGGGCTACTGTCAGAAAACATCTCTAAATTGATGCTTGTGAGTTTCCAATATCCTCACTGTGTCTCTTCAGTGCCCTTGGGTTTTCCAGGGACAAACAGGACACTGTGACCTTGGGTGCCCACCACCAAGCCCTCTGGCTGCAGCACAACACTTTCTGCAGTGGAACCACCTGTCGAGGGTCGGGCAACGGTTGGCAGGGGCAGCAGCGCCAAGGGTAGCCAGTCACCGACAGCAGGCCTCACTCAGCGACAGCCTCTGATGGGCTTCCACACAGCAAATTGGGGCAGCCCTTGCCAGCAATTAAGAAATAATGGCGTGGCACCGGTGCATTTGGCAGAGTGGGGTCTTCTCTGGGTCACCTGACTGCCTATTTTGTAGGGAATATGGCCTGTAAGATGGGTCACACACTCACTCAAAACCCAGCAGGGAGTTATTCTGTTCACACAGGACACCTGGTTCCAGGTACTGCCCAGCCTCGTTTCTAAGCCTCATTAAGGGGATAACTGGTTCCATATCAAACTGACAAAGATGCCACCTTCCCTCCCCCAAAGCTGTTTTCCTGGGAGTTTAATGACCATTTGAGTGGAGGAGCGTTGCCTTTGAATGCCACTGGACTCTGGGAAACAACGCAGACTCCAGCATTTGTTTTCTCCCCCATCCCCCTTGTGAGCTCTAACACTAGGAAGATTCCATTATGTTTACCCTAATTTGCCTGAATTCAACCATGCAATTCTCATCTTGAATTTGAGAATGCCATTCCCACATTCCCCACCCAACGCGTGTTCTGTTCCCCCAGGTTCACCTGGTGTCAGAAGAGCCCTATTTGGGACACTCTACACCTTGAGGACTAAATCCCCGAGTGCACAAAACAGGCCATCTCTTTTGCTATATCCTCCTGGGGTTAGGGGTCAGGCACAGTGCTGACCATCTCGTAGGTGTTCAGTAAACACAAACTGAGGAAATTAGTAAAGCACATGAAAATGGAAGTGCTGCAATGGGATCTGAGTGCAGCAATAGTCTGAACCTGGGGGTCCCACTGGTGCTTCCTAAATGAATGAATCGGCACCTGAAGGAGATTCCTCCCGGCGACCAACTGCAGACAAGGTGTTTGGACTGAAGCAATGTCCCAAGGAGGGTTTACCCACCACCCACTTCGTTCAGGCCTGTGGATTGCTTTGTTTTGTGTGCATGTGTGTGTGTGCGCGCGTGCGCCTGAGTGTGTGTGTGTGTGTGTGTGTGCATGCGTATGCACATGTGTTTGGCTGAACAGTGAGGGAGAAGAGACTAGAACCCCATACGCATCTCTGAGCCTCAGTCGGCTCTCACTTCCTACCTTGTTGTGATACTGCAGCATCTGAGTGATGATTCTTATCTTCGGGTGGTAGTTCTTTATGGAGATGACTCTGAAAAAGAAAACGCGAAAGCTGAGGCAGGGTTTACCTTCACTTCAGAGTCTGATGGGAAGATTCATTTGATTAATTAGTCACAACTCAATGGAGCGACTGTGGGGCCAGCATCCAGGGCCATCCTGAGGGGTTGCAGGCATGGAGCCAAGTTAAATTGTGTTTCCACTACCATATCCGTGGTAGTGTGAAAAAGAAACCACAAAACGGCCACAGAAGTGTCCTGGGCATAAAAGAAGAGAGAGGCCTGTGGTATGTGAGTATGTGTGCCCTGGGGGTAGGGGGCTCTGTGGCCAGGGTCAAGGTGTGTTGCCTATATAGGCATCTGAAGAAAGCAAACTCAATTTATGGGGCCAAAGGAGGTTTGCAATCTCATACCCTGGGGAAGAGCCTAGAAACCATTTGCTGTGGATCCAATTCTCCAAGTGATAATTTGAGACAACAGTGACAAATCAAACCAGCAACCCGACAAATGATTCTAATTGCCACACACATGGCCACTCACAAAAATGATTTCTAAGTTGGGCTCCCAGGACGGGATTCTTGACTTAGCCTTCAATGGCGAATAGCATCTAAATGATGACTTTGACCTGATTAGAATAAGGCAGGGGTCCTCAAACTTTTTAAACAGGGGGCCAGTTCACTGTCCCTCAGACCGTTGGAGGGCCGGACTATAGTTTTAAAAAAGAAACTATGAACAAATTCCTATGCACACTGCACATATCTTATTTTGAAGTAAAACAACAAAACAGGAACAAACACAGTATTTGTATTTGCATGTGGCCCGCGGGCCATAGTTTGAGGACCCCTGGGATAAGGGGTAAGGGCTTTTGGAGTTCTAGTACAAAATCCCTCCAAACTGCCCTCAGTCCATACTCAGTATTAGCCCCCGCCTGGGCCTCCTCATGACCCCCCTGACAATTATGTGCTAACAGGGGAGGGGCAGAGGAATATAAACACCTGGACTCCAGTCCCAGCTAGTGCCCTGGCGAACTGGTGACCTTCAGGAAATCCCTGGTCTCTCTGTGACCGTTTCCTCATCTGGACATCGGGGCAACAGTACCTGCTTTATTTATTTCACAGGCTTGGTCTGAGCAGCAAAATGAAAGACCAGATGTGAAAATGCTTTGAAATCATTAAAAGCTCTCTCCACGTGCAAGTTATGGTTTTTGTCATTACGGACTCTGTCAGAGGTGACACTGTACATTTCCTTCTGTGACAGGGAAGGCTCAAGAATGGAATTCCACGGAATGGCCCACCGCCTGAGCCTAATCAGAAATGCAAGTGCATTTATGGTGACACCCCCCACAAACTTCCCACCCAGAAACCCTGCCCTTCATCCCTGTGTCGTGAGAAGATGGAGGGAGGCGGCCAGGAGCAGCTGTGTCTGAAAAGCTCCAACTTGTGCACTTAGGAAACGGATCACACGTCAGCCTCTCCTGCACAAGTTCACCCTGGGCTTCTGCACTTGAAGGATTTCATTTTATTTTTGAAAAAGTCTAGTGTTGGCCCAAGCTTATAACTCAAGGACTTGGCGCCTCTGTCAGCCCTCTGAATTCAGTTCACAGCCTCAGCCAGTTTTCTGCATTAGCTCATTTCAAATGGATCTTTGACATTTTAATTTCAAACCGGGCAGATTGGTCTCATTAAATTAAGGAGGAAGGAGGATTATACAAATAAGGGAAAGACAGAGCCCATTTTTAACCCCGAGCCTCCCATTTCCTTGTGCTGCCTGGGCCTTACTTAGTTCTGATTCTGGCTAATGGACGGCTCAGTTACATTTCTGATACTACCTTTGCCCAGTAACCTCTATGCCCTGGCATCATGCCCATCGCCCAGGTAACCGATATGTCTTCACATTAACCCTATCACAGTCAGGGCTTTTATGAGATATTTTGTGATGAAGAAAAATGTCCATTTCAAAGCTATTATCATTTCAATTAGTCACTTTTGAAGGCAAAATAATAATAATAATAATAATAATAATAATAAAGGTAGTGCCAGCCTCAAACTTGTCTGTGGGGTCAACACATTAAATTTCATCTTCTCTTGATACTTTGGATGAAATTTTGAAGATAACAAAGCCTCGTTCCTTAAATTCTACATCTGTATCACTTCATATGATACAAAAACGTGGTGAAGGAGTGAAATCCCAGTTCAAGGAACAGGCAGCCTGAGCCACCTTCACCGAGGCTGCTGTAGTCACTCTCCAGCTGTGACCAGGGAGGGGCTGGACCCAGGTGTGGAGCACGTCCTCACCCCACCATCTCCTGCAGCCTGGCAAGCCCGATGCTTACAAGAGCTCACGCTTCAACTTCCTTAAAACAACTGCACTCGTCATATTGCCAAAGAAAAGCGAGTGGAAAGAGAACATTGCTCCAGATGTTGCTTGCCAGGCACTAGGACCAGATGCTGAGGGGAGGCCTTTCTCATCCGAAAAGCATGGAGGAATTCCCCCACTTCACCGATGGGAAAGCACGTGTCACTTGGGGCCGCTGATTAAAGGCACAGAAAGGAGGTTCCAGCCTTGTGATGATGCAAAGGCAACTTCCCAAGCCCCCATGTTGGGACAGTCAGGGCAAATTCCCAGGACACAGTAAACCAAGCTGCAGGGAGAAGGGAATCTTTGTCTCGACCCAGAAGATGGCTGTTCACAATTAGGTAAGAGCTCCTGGGAATACAGTGGGAGTGACATGTTTTCTCTTAGGTCATCTCTTCTCCAGAAGGTTCTCTTTACCCTTCCAAGCTGTCTTAACTACTCTGCAGTTTATGCTACAGAAGGTAAGATTTCAAAAGGGCTCTAACTATCTGGACCAAAATACCTTAACCTTTTAGGCATCTCATAGCCACAATATGTCCGGATATGGGTCTATGCAAAGAACAAAAACAGAACAAGTTTTCTTCTGAAACAGTAAGGAGTAGGAGATATGGGTCTATGCAAAGAACAAAAACAGAACAACAGTTTTCTTCTGAAACAGTAAGGAGTAGGAGTTGGGCAGAAAATGGCCTCTCATAGGCTCAGCCAGTTTGCAGGAAGGGTACTGGGAAGTGTTCTCCAAAGAGTGGCCCCCCGAAATGTTCTGTAAAAATGAGGGAGGAGGCTTGTAGTCAAATAGGTTTGAGAAATTCTCTAGAGCACATTATTTTTATCATTCATGTTAGTATTAAAAACACTGAGAAAGTTTTCAGCAAACAACACTATTTCATTCAGGGAGACAGGTTGAAACAAACTAACTGGAGAACAAACTCCTCTTTGGGGGTGAAATGAATCCTGTGCTATAGACACACTTGGAAAGCTCTAAGATGGGGCTTCCTCCCAGGCACTATTGAATTTTGGAGCCAGACCAATTCTCTCCTGTGTGCAGCTGGCCTTTGTTTTATAGAATGTTGGGCAGCATTACTGGTCTCTACCCACCAGACAAGAGCAGGACGACAACCCTAGTTATGACAACCAAGAACATCTCTGTATGTTTTGAAAGGTCCCGAGACAAGACCACATCCTTCCCTGGTCCATTTAGGCATCTCAGGTCCATTTTCTCTTAGGAAACATGGTACCTTACTTCAGGTCATTCCCATCTAAATTTACCTTTCCCTTTGGTCCTGTCTAAAGGATCTCAAATGCATGACCCAGAGCTCCCATCTTCTCGGGACGAACTTCCTATGGACTATGCCTCATGTCACTGTCCTCCACACCCAGCACAGCCTCAGCTCCCCCCACCCACCAGGCCTATGCAGGTAGCTTATGGAGGAGATGGTGTAGAGGACCCAAAGGGGAGCAAGTGGGCCACAGAGCCCCAAGCCCAGAGCCTTCGTCCCACCTCCCAGAGGTTACCTCATGATGTTGGAGGCATCTTCAGCGTCGGGGTCTGCGCAGTACTTATTGGCAAGGATGAGGCACGCATCTGCTGACTCTATCTAAGACACCGAAAGGAAAACCACAGACACAAACACATAAATAGCCAGGCTTGGTGGCAGGCTCTCACTGTTTACAGCTCTTGGGGAACCTGGTGCTTTGCAAGGACATTTTTAAAAAGAATCCTGAGAGATTACAGTTTGTGTCAAATGTGTAGGTTGCTAAGTCTTGTTATGATATAAACAATTCATCTTGTTGCTGTTGGAGGGAACAGCATGTACCTTAGTAATTATACTGTTCATTTTGCATAGTCTTATGTGTGAGCTTCTCAGATTTCTTTAAAGAACAATGAACTAAGCTTTTTAGTAGCCCCACCCCCACCCCACCTCCTTTCCCCACCACCATCTTAATTTTTCCAGGTGGTGAAATGGAGTTAGGTGGGCTAACCCCATCCACTCAGGTTATCAAGATAACTGAGGAATTGGAGATTCAGTCATTTAGAATCCAGCGTTCTTCCTCTAACCCTTTTCACATCTTATCTGGCAAACAAAAGGAAATGAGAGTCCTGAATCGGTGCTGTTCAGTATCCAATTAGCATTCAGCTATTCAAAAGACAACACATCTGTATGTATGAAGTGATGTATTACAGAAGATCTCAAACTATAACTTACTAACTTATCTGAACATGAGCCCCAAATAGCTTATTCCTTTGAGGGGTTCGTGAGTAGTGCTAATAATTGCCTACATCCAAATCAGGTCCAAAAACAATAACCATGTTCTCAAAGTTCTCATGAGCTTCCACATTAGCCATAACTTGAACCATATCTGGGGAAAATTAAGATGAACTGGACTCTAAGAATTCTTGTGCTGGTGCAGGCCTGCAGCCTGTCCCACTTGGCATGCTGTACTTAGCAGACCCTTCTGCATTTGGAGGGAGGGCTGGTCTCTTCCATTATATGTCACAGTATCTCTGGTTTTCTTTAATAGTCCAGAGAATTAACTCAAGTCCTTTTGGCTTATTCATGTTTGCCCATTATATGGTTACTGAATGGTGTGGTGACTGCAGTTAGCATTAAGATGTCAGTGGCTTCACAATTTCAATATACACTTACTGTTGTGCAAACACTGAGCATGCTTACAAAATCGGTGTACAATGAGTAGAGTGGCAGAGGCCATTTTGCTGTACCCTATCCCCTTATAAGCCCCAGAAGGGCTTTCTAAGAAGATTCTACCTTAGCAGGTGCTGGAAAGAAAAATTAGCCCATTACAAAGTAGTGTTAGATACCTGTATGTTTAGTTCCACACCTTAGTCTTTTGGTGGGGGAAGGAAGGAAGCTCAAAATGTTTCATGGCTTGGTAACAATTTTATTTTAGACAAGAGGCCTGGTGAATGAAATCTGTGTACTCAGGGTGGTCCCTCAGCCCGGCCTGAGCCCTCTTGCAGTCCAGAGGTCCTTGGGGGATATCCTACTGATAGGCCTGTTCCCCTCAGGGGAGCAAGACTAAGCCACAGTCGGGCATCCTGAGTGCTGCCACCGTCACCGTGCTCAGCAGCAGTGAGCCCAGCTTCTCACTGAGTGGCGCTCCCCTGTGGGAGTGCAATGACCACCAGGAGGCAGCTTCTGTGTTGAGCGTCTGCCCCCTCGTGGTCAGTGCATGACATAGCGACCAGTCGTCTCTTTGATCAGTCGATTTGCACATTAGCCTTTTATTATATAGGATTTTACCCTTAATGTTCCTTTCTGATATAAATAATCGATTTTAGAGCTACAGTGAGTCCTATTTAAGTATTCAAGATGGGAATAACTTTATTATTATGTTGTATGGGAGACTATTGAGTCCACACAACTAGTCTGCTTCCTTTAGCAGCACTGATACTGAGGGAACTAGCAAAGGAAGTTCCATGCTCCAAGTGTTCAAGTGTGGAATGCTCACAGGTGGTCTAGCAGGTGCCAGCAGAACGATGCCCTGGGACCTATGCAAGGGTGATGCCAACTAAGGTGGTGGTATCTGACTTCTTTCATTAGGGGTTGGGGGGTGACTCGAAGCCATCCTGGGAGGCATGTCCCCTCACCACTGAGTCAGGTGCCCCCCTCTTAGGTGGAGGAAAAGCAGAGGTCGCTCCTTCCTTCTTACCTTGACTCTCGCAAGATCATGTGGATTGAGGACTGAACCCTGATAAAATTCCACCTGAGTAAAATGTCGTTTGAATAGAGCTTCCAGCTCCAGGTTGGGGGAAATGCTGTGCAGGGAGAGAAAAAACAGCCATTAATATGACAGATGCAGGCATTGCAGCCTCCAGGCCCCCTTCTCTTGACTTCCACAGAAGGGGACCTGGGAAAGGGCTTTCTCCTTCAAAGCAGCTCCCAAGCTTGTCATAAATAAAGGCTTGCACTCAAGAGAGACAAAACCTACCTGAACCAAATCGAATACCAAGGTAAAATAAACAGGCCCAGACTTTTACCGAGTCTGAGGCATATGGGGTGAAATGTCTTCGACTTCATTATGCATGAAATCCCTATTTTATAAATAGAGAAACTGAGGTTGTGACATCAGGGTTAGCCAAAGGTTCCCTTGGCAGTGCTGTTTCTTCCACCAAAAGCCTTTTCCCTGCTTCTCCACCCCATGGACTCCTCATCCCCAAAAATGTCACCTCTGTGCAGCCACACCCAGAGTTCATTTACTCGCAGTACTGTTCTTAATTCACAGGGGTGTACACTATTCATCATTCTTAGAACTGAGCTGTAAGGACATCTTTCCATTGGGGGACAAAGATTAAAACACTGATTGACCTATTCATTCATTCATTCATTCATTCATTCTGCATAGATGAACAAACCTACTCTGTACGTGGTACTATACTAGGCACTGGGAGGTCATATTTAGTTAGAACCTACTTGGTGCCAGGGATAGTGTTAGTCAACACGACTAACATTGACTAAGTGCCTAGTCTTAATAATTGTTCATGTTTTGAGCATTTACTGCATGGCAGATACCATTCTAAACACTTGCAAGTATTAACTCATTTAAACCACAAAACAACCCTAGAGAAAGGTATGTTATTAACACAGCTTCAAGAGGTTAATTAACTGGGCCATCTACTATGATGCTGACAAGAATCGATGCTGGGGACACAGGGGAACCCTAACACTAACACAGGGGAACCCTAAGCATTAGAAGCCAACTTGACTCTGACTGAAGCCCTGGGTGAGAAAAGAGGAGCTGCCTGTACAAATCTTTCCCATCTCCCAGATCCAGTACAATCATGCTTCATTCCTGAAGCTCCCCGGGTAACGCATGAAGCGGGGGGCACTTCCCAGGCCAGTCTGCCACCTGGTGAAACTGACTTCAGTCAGTGAAAGTAGGATCACTGTTGTGCTCTGATGTCGCACATGTGCTCACCTTGAAATGTGCAGCCAACAGGAGGGCAGACCTACACACTACACTGCTCTTGAACCTTCTAAAGGGCTCAGAGAAGACGGGCCCCACAACTGGGAATCAGCAGGTAGCTCTGAACTGTTCTGTGGGTTCTGCTCCTGGGTCCATGGCCTGGCCAGTCTTTTCAGAACTTAGAGAAGCCGTGCTGAGAAGAAAAATACTGGCGCTCAAACCTGGTGACCATTTGGTATTGGTGAACAAATGCCCGGAGGAGGAAGCTGCACAGAATGGGAGCTTGTGGGGAGATCAACCAGAGTGGGCTCTTGGAGCAGGACTGAGTCTTGAGTGGTCAGCCCCATACCGAGCCAACACCGACATGGAAGCTTTGTCTCTCTAGCAACTTATGGCAACTTATGAGCCCCTTGACAGCCCATCTCTAAAAGAAGATGGAGCAACACATGGCAACATGCTTGAGCCCCCCAACTCTCCATCCCTGTGCAGACTACCTTTTACTTAAAGGGGATGAGACAAAGCTTAAAATCTCAACAATATTGAGCAGAAGGGAGATACCTTCCTTTCCTCCCCTGTAAATCAAATATAATAAGACATAATTTCTAAATTAATTATGTGACCTAATATATTTTATATTTCACAATAGTAGCTAACATGGATTGAGCAGCTACCGCATGCCTGATTCTGCTCTGTGTACATTACATGGATTACTTCTTTTCATTCTCACAACAGCCCAAGGATGTAGGTAGAAACCATGATGATCTCCCCATCTTATGGATATGGAAACTGAGGCCCAGAGAGGTTCAGAAAGTAATTGGTTGATGCAAGATTCAGATCAGGTATTTGGAATCCAGAGCATGTACTTTGCTCCCTCTGTTGGTTAAAGAAGGGACTGTATGCATGGTGACCAGCGAGCACAGGGTCCCCCACTGAAGATTTCTGGGAACCACAGTTACTGTGGCTATTAGTGCCTTACACCCTGCTTCCTGTTATGTTTATGTCTTCCTTGGTCACTATGTCACCCCTGCACTCATAAGGTATCCACCTCATGCTGCTCATCATTCCACACCTGACACTGGGCACACTCATGGATCCCAGAGATCCAGGAGCTGAGGGGACAGTAATGACCTGTGTGACCCATAATAAACTCCTCTGTTATTTGCCAGAATGACCTTCACAGAGGCAGGTGCTGCTCTCACTGAGCTAGTGTGTTACTCCCTTTCCACTGGTTCAGGTCTTCCTCTCCACTGAGGCCAGCAGAGACTGTGTCTCATTCAACTCTGCCCTGCCCCCCAACGCCGCCCCCCACACCACCACTCCTGCAGACACTCAGGGTGCCCCCTCAGGGTGCCTTGTTGGGTGGAGGGTCTCGAAACCACAGGGGCCTCTTACTTGTGAAGAAAGACGATCTCCACGTTGACATCATCCCGGTCCTTGTGCAGGAAGTCCTTCAGGAAATTGGAGACACTCTCCAGAGTGATGTGTCCACAGACCACAATGTGCCTGAACGGGAGAGGCTGGTTAGATGAGGTGGCCCAGCGCGACCCAGGCACCCATGCCCAGCAGGACAGAGGAAGCGCAGCCGCAGGAAAGCATCGCCCCCAGGGCTCCCTGAGCCCCGCTCTCCTCCCCAGAGGCTGCGAGGCAAAGCAGCGGTGCTGGCAGGTGCTCCTCAGCAGAGAAGGCATATGGCGTCTCACCTGATGCTGCACAAAATCTTATTAAAGCCCAACCGTTTGGCCAAGTGGTTTTATGCATTTAACAATAAGTGACATTATGCTCGCGCTTAAACGCTGCATTATCAAGTCCCTTGCAGATTCCTATCTCTCCCTTTCTGCCCACAAAGCGTCCTCCTGGGAGATTTACTGAATGAGTCTTGGTTTATGACATAGAGCTTATCAGGTAATGAGATAACAAATCTTGCTGAAACGATGATTTTGTGTGTAAGGAAGCGAACTTTTATCAGGGTGGCTAATGTGCGGCTTGACACGTTATGGGCTCTGTTGGCCATAAGCAGTAAAAAGGAAAATTTTGCATTTTTCCGCCATAACTCCTCCAACAATGGGGGCACGTAACACTTTACAGTAAGTGAGCATTACTCAGGGCTAAATGGGGACAGGACGCCTCTGGAATGGGAGATCAGCCGCAGACCTGTGTCCCCAGGCAGCTGCTTCCTTGGGGCGCTGCGGATGCCTCCTTGAGCCAAAGGAATCGGCCTCAAGATGGGGAGAAGCCAGGAAGAGGGGACGCTGGCATCGACTGCCTTGTCCCAGGGGCCTCAGACTTCTGTTCCTGGAGATGGTGGCTGGCCTTGAGGAGAGGAGCCCCTCTTCCAGAATTGTGGGAATAAGAGTCCCCCCCACATCTCTGGGCTCCTGAGCCAATCTGACTTTGACACCAGGCTATACTATGGCCACTTACAGTTGCTACAAGGTGCTCGATCGATCAGGACTAAGCACTTTGGTGCAAGAGTTAGTGCCAGTGCCGGGACTGGCTGTACAGAAGAAACCCGCTGGCTTAGAGTAGAAGAGGTTGTTGCAAGGGATTCAGCCCAGATCCCTGTGCGCCTCGGGCCGAGGGGGACAGAGGCTGAATCCCTGGCTGGGCCGTGAGGCATGGGCACGTGGCGAACAAGAAGCACAGGAATTCTGTGGGGAAATGTAAAATGGCCCGGCCCCTTGCACTCCGTAACTGCTCTGTGCACACTGCAATAAGGCGGAAAGCGCATTGGCTGGAGGCGGCTCATAATAGGAGGCATGATGATCACTTATGCAATGTTCCATTAGATGCCATTACAAGAGCCTGCCCTTTCCTTGTAATTTGGTGCTTGACTAAGTATGTGAGAATAATGCAGTAAACTCATTGGTGAAAGGATAATGATGCAGAACAAAGAGTAAATCAATAATACGCGCGGTGCAGTTAATAATATCTCCATTATGGACTGTTATTGTTACGGAGCTGCACTTAGCGATTGGAGCCCAGAGGCCATCGGGGAGGGAGGAGTGTCAGTGACTTCCTCAGAGGAGACGCATGAGCAAGATCACTGTGCTCGGGCCCCGGCCTGCCGGGGTGAGGGAGGTCCCACGACCACCCATCCAAATTCTATGCTCAAAACCCATACAGACAGCACCTTCCTAAAATACACTGTATGCCTGCGTACATGATGTGAATGAAACACTTGGATTATGTGCATTTTTATCACGTCATACCTTAACATGCTTGCTGCAGCACATGTGCACATATATGGACAAAACAGGCTGCACGTGAATTTGCGTGACCTCAGTAAGATTTCTGGTTGTGAACTTGCCAAGTGTGTTCAGAAAGTGACTGAGGAACAGGACCGCCCTCCCGACCTCTCCACAAATGACAGTGGGGCAGCGTGGGGGCGATTCTGATACTTTCTGCCCACAAACTTCCTGGTGGATAACAAGACCAGCATGGTCCCAGGTGCGGGCCCCTCCATAGGCCCGCGAAAGGAAGCCAGATTTGATTCCCTGGTTTCCCCCCAAGGACGTATGATCCAGGACAAGCTTCTTATCCCCCTTTCAGCAGATGAGGGAAGGGAGGGGTTAATACCCTAGCCAGTTCCTGCCCCAGGCACTGCAAAGCCCACAGTTCTATACCAGCATAAACATGGTTATTATTCAAAGCTGGACTCAAATCAACGAGAGGGCCAGAGAGATGCCTGAACATCCACCCTGCCTATCCTGTGCGCAAAGAACTGAATGAACATCTGCCAGCATCCCCGCTTCCTCTTCCAAAACCATTCGTCTCCAGGACAGCTGGATGAGAAGCGGGAGGGGAGGGGATGAGTTCACCCTCTCACCCTTGAATCAAAGGCTCAGCTCAGCCAGCTGATTTATTCAGCCTTAGGAAGAGTCAGGGTTCTCATAGTTGAAAATGTGCTGGGTACATATAAAATATATTCGAATGCAATCAATATTATTCCTTAAGCCTTTAATTAGCTTTCACTTCTCTTAAGAAGTAAGACGAATGCTGGCAGGAGACAGAAGGAACAAAAAGGATTGACTTTTCTCATTTGGTGTGAGCTGTCCAATACCATTCTAGACGGTTTAAAATATATATCCGTTAGCTACAGCATGCCTTCTGGGGTAGACAGCAGTCTTTATCAAAAAGGGAGGGGGAAAAATCTTCCTTCCACATAATTGGTATTTTTGCTCAGAAAAAGCGGGATTGATTGAAAGCAGATTGCCGCCCTGCCCACCAGGAGGCATTAGGTACATTATGGTGGCAACCTTGGAGGACCCATATTGTTCCAATCTGTCCCGTATCTGATGTGAAGATTTACCGCGTCCCTGTTTTGTGCCAATAATCATTTCCCTCTATTTTGTTTTCCATACAGTGAACGCGATCAAGGAACCCACATATTGAAAATGTTTGAATGCAGTTAGGACTGATGGATGGGGAGAAGCTGCCTCTCCAGCTTAGCATCCGCATCAGGAGGCCGGCTCCCACCAGCCCGTGGCCCAGGGAGCACGAGGGCCCTGCGGGAGTGCCCGGGATGGATGGTGAAAGGGGCAAATTTATTTCCCGGGAGTATTTTCAGGAGTTGACAATTCCAGGGGCAGTCGTCTTGGGAAGGATGTCATGGAGGGGAGAAGAGAGGCAGCATTTCCTGGTCGTTGGAAATGTAATTGAAATGCTCTAAGACTGAGAGCAGGGCGTGCCATCTCTGGACACAGAGTGATGGTTGTTCACAGTACATGGTTCAGAGAATGCCAAAAAAGACCCTCATCCAAGATTATCTCTGTCAGGTCTGTGACACCCACCAATCTACTGTGTGAGATTCATTTGGATAGCCCTGTGTTAGCTCAGACACCGAGGAACGGAACAGTCTGAGGTAGGGACCAATTCTGCATCTCACAATTATGAAGTCAGAATCTCTCAGGGGCTGGAGCTAGCGCCTGATTCATGAGGTTATCTTGAGAATTTATTTAAATAGAGATAATACATGTGAAGGGCCTAGAAAAAGGTCTGGCCCTGGTAAGCATTAAATGGTAAAATTCATGGGATACCTGTAAATCAGCACGTAACATAGATATAAAAAGCTCTGTGGCCAATAGAATCTCACCTAATCCTCAAACAACCCCATGTTCTGCATATTTTCAGGGAACTTCTCTGAACCTCAATCTCCTTAAGTCATGTGTCCGAGACCCCACAGCAAGTAAAAGGGACTTGCCCAGGCTGTGATCCTGTTCTCTGGCCCCATTCTCGCCGAGAGGAAAGAGGTGATGTGAAAAGGGCTTTGGTATTGCAGCTCTGCTTGCTCCTGACGGGCTGGGCTGAGCCCAGAGGAGATCCTCCTGGACACACAGAGGATGGGGTGTTGGGGAGTCCTCGCTGGGCCAGGAGAGAGGCTTAGTGTGGGGCCTGGAGCGCCTCAGAGATAAACGCCCCTAAAGCACCACAGAGATGCAGGGTCACTGGATTCTGGCTGCACCTGGTCAGCCGGACCAAGACAGCCAAGGCTGAGAGGCACAGGAACTCTGAACCGAGGTTCAAGTTAAGCCACACAATTTGGCCACCAGGGGCTGTGATGCAGATGCCCATTTTTAGATGTTATAGGCTCAGGACTTACTCAGCCTGAGGACCCAAAGGAAGATAGAAATCCTGTGGTTCACTGACAATGGAGAGTTTACCAAGGCAGCTGCCGGGACCCAGAGCTGGACATTTTTAGACTGCTGGCCATGGCAACCACTGACTTCGAGCAGGCCGGGCCCCCTGGTTTGCGAAGATGGCCAACCAACCTAACTCAGTAACCATTTTTCCTCTGACCTACTTTTTGGGTTTTAAAGTTTTGTTTAGTTCTGGGAACAAATCTTCTTTGAGATAAATTAATGTTAGTACCTAGGATTAAAAGGTCCATCTCAGATGCAGGAGGAAGCATCTGAAATGCCAAAATAGTGGCAGATGGCATCTTGTGGAGAGCAGTTACTCGTGTAGTGGCTGTCCTGGGAGAGTGCCCCCAAATGCGGGCTGGATGAACCAGAGGTGGTAACACCAGTGGGTCATGGAGTAAGCATGGCACTGAGGGGTGGAGGGTGACTTAATCAGAATAATGTTTGACTGTGATCACTATCAGGGCTCGCTAGAAAACTACCAGTTGCTTAGTTCATGGGCGCCTCTTCACTCACTTACTGCTGTCATTAACCGTCTTCACCTCCCACACGTCGTCCTCCATCACTCTGCTTGGAAGTGGGTCAGGAAAGCCGGACGCCCAGTGCAGGTGGGAGCTCGGTTTCAGAGTTCAACGCCACTGTGCCTTTCAGAATGGATAGCTCAGGGCCACTGCCTTGGGGCTGGAGGCATAAGAGGCGAGTAGAGGGGGAGGCCACCAGACAAAACTTTTCAAGGCTGTGGGGAACGAGGCACCCAGCGCCACTGAGGGTGAGCTTCCCTCCACGAGAGGAAAAGCTCTACACACTTTTCAAAAGAGTCAGGCAGTGTTGTTGAGAGCCAGCAGCCTTTGCAAAGGGCTGTGA